TCGTCTTCCGCAATACTTCCGATCTTCCGAGTTGAAATTACAAACAAGGTCGGAACTGCTAAACAACGATGAGTAATCTGGCAGAATTAATCAAATTGCACTTGGAAAATTTAATCCCGGTTGGTGAAAATTGTGGATGCAACGAAGATAGTGAAACTTCCGAACTTTTGAATGACATAAACAATACTGGGTATTCTTTTTCAATAAGTTTGTTTGTTTGTAATTAAGCACAAAGCTACACAATGGGCTATCGAAACCCTGATTCTAACGTTGGAAGTCCGCAGACAAACCGCTGTGCCACTGAGGGGGGGGGGGGCTTTTCAATAAGAAACAGAAAAAACAAACAAACAAAAACTGAGTGTTGCTTTTTTCGACAAACCGCTGTGCCACTGGGGGGCTTTTCAATAAAAAACAGAAAAACATACTAACAAAAACTGAATGTTGCTTTTTTTCGACAAACCGCTGTGCCACTGGGAGGCTTTTCAATAAAAAACAGAAAAAACAAACAAACAAAAACTGAATGTTGCTTTTTTCGAGCCTGGAGTTTTCATTTTGTGGTAGTAGTAACGTCAAATAATAGATAAATAAAAAATTAATAATCACGTCTTTTCTCAATTTTTAATTACATACAACTGACAAAAGAAAAGATAGATAACTCGAATATAATAATTAAGAACGACCTAATGTTAGATTTTATCTCGATCGGCTTCTTTTTTTTTCTGTTTCTGGTAGTAGAGACAAAAATAAAATACCCAGATTTTTACATCATCTACATTATTTACCAGCTCTGTTTTTCTGTTCAATTCCCCAAGTGCCGTGCTTTGCAAAACTCACTTACTCTGTAGTGATTTAAACTTGATAAATCGGAAACACTGCCGAAGACACATAGGACACCAAAACTTTGCAAACTAGGCTTCGTACTACCCTTCCTTGGGCTACTCTAATTGAATAGTGAGATCCGACCATCATCCTTATAACGCACCTTTGGTTCCAATAAGGTTCCAGATTTTACGGTATGGGAACAAGCAATATATATATATATTCTGTAGAAGACAGTCAAACAGCATATGCGTAAATAAAACCCAAAACTAAAATTTGTTAAATAACCTTGCGCTACAAACATGTATGAAACCACAAGTCTTTATGAGCATGTAATTAACTAACCTTATGAAAAGAATTAAGAATCAAACGTCAGTAGCGTCATAGAAAGTACACGTTTGTAATGAAGCGTTAAGTTTTAAGTAAAATATATTAAGTAAAGTTTGTTTGTATAAAACTAGTTCCACCTGTTGCTTAACAACAATTTCTAACTTAGTCATTTTCGTGAAACATTGCCATAAAATGTACTAATATTTCAAAACGCAATATTCTATTGATTATATTATTTTGCTACAGTGCAATGTTTGCTGGAAGAGAAAATATTGTTACCTCTCTGGTCGTTTGTTAATTTCCCGTATAATTTCTTTCGGATGAAACTTTAGCGATACAAGTCCTTTCTTAAATAAAACTAGTTTATTCTTTCTGAATACAACTTTGCAATACACTTAATTTCCACTATCACTTTAACTTAAACACACGCTATAATCCACAACGATTCACGCACTTTACTAACGGTCACTACCGCGCTTAACTCAATTGTCCGTCTCTATCTCTGCCTGTCTGCAATTCCAATTCTGATTAATTGTCTCGCTTTATCTGGCGCACTTATATACAAGAATAGGGGGTGCATAAAAAAGACTAGAGTT